AAATCGCGAGGTAGAAATGGATATGACAATTAATCCGTATGCGTTATCGTTTCACCTGTGCACACACGCCATGATCAAATTCCACGTACGAATGATATTCGATGAATAATTTGTTAATTGTTGGGTTAATTTTTAAATTGAAAATATTTTAATTTAATTCTTAAATCTTTAAGTGCAAAGAATTTTAATTTTGTAATTTTTAAATTTTCTAGATTACCATGTTTGATAATTTTTTAATTTCAAAGTCAAGCATGTTAATCTTTAAATTATTCAATTTTCTTTCGTCCGAATTTTGTTTAACAAAATGAATGCACGAAATGTAAACACTTGCACATTGAGCATTTTCTAGGTTCAAAAGGAAATCGAAATTTGATATTTATTTAAATATTCTACTTCGATAGCCATTACTTGAAGTATACCAGCGACGAGCATGTCGAGAGGCATTCTCGATGTGAGAAAACCAGCGATATTTACACGAATATAGTACTTGAATATAGTAGTTGGTAAACACCTCCAATAATTTCTTAATACATTCGCCGAGGGAAATCTGCTACTATTTTTCACGTGCTGTTTTCTTGATTTTCGAAGATTTATGCAGATCTTGTGGAACACGTTTGACATGAGTTTCTTCCTGTTAACAGTATTCGGTTGCATGGCATTAGGTGCTGCTGCTATTAGCGTGAGTAACGTATATAATATACATAAACATGACACTTTTTTATCACTTTTTTAATCACTATAAAACCGTGAATGATTAATAAAATTAATTAAATAATCGAGCTAGTTCTACCAATTGATAATATCGCGGGCTGACGGAAGAATGATACTTGTATCATTGTCTGTTGCATTCGCCATGATTATTTATGCAGTATTCTCAACATATTTTGGGCAAAGGATAATCGATCACAGTTTAAGCATCTTCTATGAAGCGTAAGTAAGATATATCCTATATATCAAACTATAATTTTTAATTAATATAAATTTTAATTCGACCAATTTTTAAATAAACCAATTATTAATTAAATAAAATTTGGAAGAAGAGTGAAACAGGAAAAATAAGATTACGAAAAGAACAAGAATTTATCTAACGTTCTCTCTTTTATCCCCCTTTCGAATTTTTGAAAACAAAGAATAAAAATACGATCAAAAATCGTAGATACAATACTCACTGGTATAAAAACCCAGTTGGTGCTCAGAAGCTGTATTTAATTATTCTGCAACGGAGCATAAAGAGCTGCTCGTATTCCAAATATGGTTTGTTCATTTCGTCATTCGAGGGCCTAACCGCGGTAACGCAATTTCTTTTGCGATAGCATTAACACGCAATGTAATCAAACGCACGTAAAAATTATTCTCGCATTTCAGATACTAAGCACAGTTTTTTCGTACTCTACGCTTTTGTACTCCACGCAAACGTAACTCTTTTATAAAAATGAAGAAAAAGAAATGAAAGATAAACGACGTTGGCCTAAGCTAATGCTACTTGCAACTAACGAGTTGTTATTGTTGCTCATCGGTGTTGTTCACACGATACGTTTGTAAACGTGTTTCTAGAAATTAAAGAAAATTATTGTGTCTTTCGTTTTGTATTTTTATCTCTCCTTTATGATTTTTAAAAGAATATAAATGTTATACTATTTTTATCAATTATAGTAATATGTACTCACATTGGTAAATGTTGTCTTCAAAGTGGTAAGCTTTAGATAAATCCCACGGAGATACTGATAATAACACTGGAGTACTATTAAAGAGTATTTCTGCGTTGACCAAGCTGATCGGAATACTTTTTGGAAGTAGAGTAAAAATGCAGGATGGAGTTCCAATCAAATCTGAAATCAGATTGATTATAAAAATTATTATTTCGTAAAAAATACAGGTAATATATCCTATTATATATTTGTACAAATTATTATGAATTTTGTGTATATTAAAATACACAATAAATTGTGCATTCGTAATTTTATTCTTATTATTAAAAAATAATTAGAGAATATATGTTGGATTATGGATAGCACGCGAGGAAGGTGAAAACCCACGTGTCCTCTGTGTTACAATGGAATATCGATTTCCATAGCCTTGCCACGTTTCCCCCATAACATACATTTGCACCCTTTTATAGGAAATCGATACGACCCTGACACGTTAATACCCTTCATTTCCAAAGAAAACACTTTACTTTTCCTTGCTTCATTTTCACAGAATTCTATTGCACATTATCGCATAATTCATTTATTCGTCACATACTTTATCTTTTAAAAAATTTTTCTTAGAATCATTGATAATTTTGTCTTAAAAATTACAGGAAATATTCACCTAATTTTAACCTTTAAACACTGAATACTCGTTGAGGTCGGTATACTTTTCTTGCTAATATGAACTGCGTTGATTGAATATAACAAGAAATTGTTATAATTGTAATTGCAAATAAATTATAATTGTAATTCCTATACGCGAAATTAAATAATACGAGAAAGTTATCTTCGAATATTAATTATTTTGATTAAAAACATTAAAATTCGAAGCACATCTTAACTCGAAGTTATATTAATAAATTTAAATATTTGAAATTAATAAATATGACGAAAAATATGGAAAATTTTATACTTATAATATTCAGTTTTAAATTAATAAACGCATATATGCGTCCTTAGTCTACGCAAATAGCTTTGACTGGCGTCCATAGCACTGAAAGTGTTTTAATAAATGTATCAGGATGATATTCGCAAGCTTCATCTTCGATTTATCATTCTCTTTCTAGATATTCTATTCCACGATCCCGAGCTGCATTACGAATACAAAAATATATCTTACTAGTATCTGAACGCAGCAAAAGAGTGGGTTGTTTGTGCTGTCAAGGTATATTCAATGGATCCTTGGATCTTTGGGGTAATGAACAACGATCATGAGAAAAGAAGCTTAAGTAAGATACACAAGAAAAATGAAATTTTCTTTAACGACTGATGAAAGCATCGATATCTTATTGCACGGTAATGTATTCCGTTTAACTCCAGGGTAAATAATTCCGCAAAGAAGCTTATGGAAGAGAGACAAGAAAAATGAAATTTTCTTTCACAACCGATGAAAGCATCGGTATCTTATTGCACGGTAATGTGCAACGTGCAATTCCATTTCCAATAACTGAAATCGTAGAAGAGATTATTTTTGACAAATAGCAGAATCATGACAGTAATTCTGTCAACTAACACATTTTCTGTCACGTTATACCGTTTAGAAACATTAAGTAATCCGAAAGAGCCTTAACACTAGAACTACCAACCCAGTGAAAATGACTGGTCCCAGAATTTTCCTTTCTGCAATCACCGAACACATACACCTGCTTTAAGAATAAAATTGGTATCAACTCGTATTAAGAAAGAACTGTAATCAATATTGTAGGATACCAAAAGAAATCGCGAATCGGCTATTGCCAACGAAAACAAATTTTAAACCGATCGATGTCTTCTAGAAGCAAATCGAAAAGTTATTCTATATAACAAAATTAAGTTGCGTGGATCCCCTACGAGGAGGTGAAGCTAGGTTAAGGAAAGCATAAAAGCGTGGTCCTTGACAACCAAAACAGAGTCCTTGGAAATCGGTTGTGACCAGCATAAACATGAGTCGCTTGATGTTGGAAAAAGAGTTTTAAAAGAGTCTTTTAAAAGAGTCTTTGTGTGTTTTTCGTTATCTTGGTGTTATTTCCCTAAGTTAAATCAGTTTACGAGTTTTGAGTTTGTGTTATCGTGTTCTTGTTCTTTCGTGAATTTTCGGTGTCTCAAGACCAGTTTCGTCATCCTACAATATATTCACTCATATTCATCGTATCGCTGAAATTACTATAATCTGTGCACGTTATAGTTAGGTACCCATTAAATATCGGTAGTTCTAGTGTTAAATAAACTACTTTTATTATTACTATGACAGGTGTGACAGATGTGTCATAAATTAGTAAACCAGAAATACTTGAAGGATCACCCAAAAGGCAACCAAGGCACCTAAAGTATTCGAAGATTAATTGACCAAAAAGTCGAGAGTCAATTGTTAAAACTGAAGAAAATTGCTGAGAATAGTCACAAGGACTACCCCAACAATCTTCAAACATGTTTCTTGTCTAAGAAGCTCCTAGAATAAGAGGAACAGTTAATTTAAGAGGATTCAATTACATATTTACACAAGTAGTCTATTCAGTTGACATTACCCAAGCGATCCTTACCATCAGACGCAATCGTTAGTCCCAGTCGAGTCAATCAGTGTTAATTAGAGGACTCAAGGAACAATCAGGTTCTGTCAGTCAGTTTAGAACAATCAATCAGTTCAATGAGTTGCTTGGACAGCATTCATGTCCCATTAGAACGAGCAAGTTCTGTCCATTGAATTCTCAATTCTCCAACAATTGGGTGGTCCTTCGGTCGCACATTAGACGTAGCAGTACCCGTGGTTGTTGAACTTGAAAGCGAAACTACACCTGTAATTTTAACAGAAAGGGGAAGCAACTTACATGACTAAAGAACAATTCGAAGGTGTACAATCGTTAACATGAAAGTAGGTAAAAGAAACGCGTTTGATTATGTAGGGTGGAGAAATGAGGGGCGTACTTCAGAATCGGTTGAGTGATTCGCAATCGCGTAATTCAGCCGATTCGCGATTCGCTTTCGAAAATAGTACTCTACAATTATGTAGTACCGTAAGCTTAACACGTTCACGCAGACGCTGCGATTAATGTGACATTTAAGTGTGAGACACCGGTAGTACACGCCGCTGTGAACTCTTGGCTATAGCACCAAACTGCACAAATGAAAATATTTGTTAATTAATTTAGAATTTTATCATATTACATCACGTAGTATCGTAGGCCTAAAGAGGCTATAGTACCAACCTGCACAATTGAAAATATTTGTTAATTAATTTGGAATTTTAACATAATACATCACGTAGTATCGTAGGTCTAAAGACGCTAGACGGGGACTTATAATAAAAGAAGAAACGAGTGAAAGTATGTGAACATGACAAGAGTCAGGCCCATCGAGAAAATGTTCGTCAATGAACAATCCACCGATGAGTCTGCAATATTTTCGCCGATTGAAGGGGTGAGGGTAATTTTGAGGATAATTAGGGAAAGGGAGGAACGATCCTCTTGAAAGGGAAGTTTTATGTGAAGCATGTAATAAGAAAAAGAAGTCGTGAGAAGAGTCTCTTAGAGTCATTTTAAGTTGTTATATATATTATATATATATTATATATTTTATAAAATATATTATAATTAATACAATATAACACAATATAATATAACATAATATATAATATATATAATATATATCACTGTTTAACCAAACTCTTTCTTTGTTTGATCTTATTTAAACTATATGTATATATATAGAAACTACAATTATTTAGTGCAATGTGCTTTAATTATCGTAAACGAGGCAGCTTCCTTTCCATTGTGTAACTCTATATAGTAAGAAAAACGTTATCTCGTGTCGTGACCACGAAGTTTCCTTCTGAGAAAGACATTTCCCAACTACAATAAACGTCGGGCAGTATATAGTACGTTCTTCTAAAACTTGCAGCAGCACGGTAGAACCGACTAACCCTGTTACGTGTTTCTACATTATACAGTACATAGCCATTCTCCATTACAGAACAATCGCGTAGCACGAAGCGTGATTTTTAATTTATTCGACGAAAGTACACATTTTTGTCAAATTTCTTGGTACTGGTTTAATACTTTCGTATTTTTCCCATGAGTGTAGTTATGTCGCCGAAATAATATAGGGAAAGGAATAAGAATAACGAAAAGAAATAAGCAAGAGGATGAATTAATTTTGTAGTTAGATCGTAGATAAAAGAAATCTGTGAAAAAATTTTAGAATTTTCGAAGATGGATTTTGAAAATCCACTTCGTTCACATCGTTCAACGTTGCTAGAGTGGAAATAATGAAAGGGAGGCGAGGTTTTCACAGGGTAGCTTTCGACAGCGAACTGAAGAACACTCGCCTCTGGTTGCAACCTGTTGCATTTGCGCTTGCGTAGATTTAAAATTTGTCTCGAGGAGACATTGATAGTATGCACTAATCTTGTGACGAAGTAATCGCATAAAGTACATGGTATTTCCATATCTTCCGATGTATGGAAAATATCATCGAAATATTACCAAAAAATAAAAATATCTTAAAAATACCGTAGTTTCAACCTCACAATCGAATGCGCGATATTTTCTAAATTTTAAAATTCATATTTTAAATCTTTCTTCCTTTCACTGTATAGCCATCCACAGAATTTAGAAATGTGATTTCTGTAAGCGTCACTAAAATTCAATTTGAGTAATCAGTTTCAATATTCAAAGAAGAACGAGAATTAACACACCCAAGTATGTAATACATTGATATTCTACCTTAAATTTTTATGTTGTATATAAAATTAAATAAACATATTTTTCAAATATAGAAAAGGAGAGGAAAGAGAGGAAAATCGAGTAAAATTTACGTACCTTTGCTTCCAAAGAATTTTTTCCAACTTTTTCAATTTCGCGTGTTAAATATTCATTATATTCTCGGAATGATAAACTAAGTTAAACGGAAAATAAATTTAGTACTCTTCGCATTAATTGAATCACATCTTCGCACTGCACCGAAAGGAACATTCGACTTCACTGTTCTACGGTTCGAACATAAATGACGGCTTCGCTGTCTGCCACCCCTAGCTGCGCTCGCGTTATTTAAAATGAAAAAAAATAATACGAGAGACACGTCAACCCACCTGCAACAACTGTCAGAGTAAAATGCAGTCATTAAGTTATAGCTACGGAAAATGCAAAAGAAGTGCCGCTAAAATTTACGGAAAATTCACAGCAAGGTAGTATGTATAGTGGAAAGACAGGTGTGAATCGATTAATAAATTATATCCCCTTCGTACCATGTGTGTAGATAATTTTTAAATTACAGCCTCCGTCACTCACTCGAGGCAATTCAGAGGGTTGAACGTGCGACAAAAATGAAAGGAAAATGTGATACAAGGTATCCATTGCGAGGGGAAATTTTCCCTTATAGTTCTTCGAGTGTCACAGTGTTTCTTCGACTCTTGCACGACTATGGAGATAATTCGACACGACAAAATCGTCAGATTTCTCATATCCGATGGCTTCTGGTACCGACTCTATAGATTCTCTTCCATATTGATACTTGTAAATAATTTGTTTATACAGGTATTTAAATTTTTCTTCTTTCTTCCACGATATCGAGTTGATGCACTCGTGCAACGTCCATTGCACTTTTACCGTTAATTGCACTTTCGTATTTGAACGAATAATAAGATAAATTGATTACTCTGAATAATTATTAACCCTTTGCACTCGAGAAGCGTCTCTCAGTCGCCATTTAATCAGATTCTAAAGATGGATGTTAATTAATATATCAAATTTGCAATTACTCCACGATGCGTGGAATATCGAAGCAAAATAATTTTACGTCTTAATTTGCATACGATTTCTTATTTGTCATTTTAAGAATATCGTTGACTTTATGGCAGAAAGTATTCGAATTACTATTTTTCTGTAACGAAAAAATCACCGAATGTGCAAAGGGTTAAATTCTACTCATATGTGATTAATATATAATATATATATTTTTTGTAATTTTTCTTTATAATTAATGCATATTCGCAATTTTGCAAAGAATATTCCAAGTGTCGAAACATGTATACGTAATCTACCGTAGGTATCGTCATTTGCTACTGCATCTTTAGAATTGGATAACATTGCGAACGACATAGTATTTATCGTGGTAACTTTAATTGTGATTGTGAAGCAAGGAACATTTTGTTTGTCTTTGACGAGAGTAAGTGTTCGAAGGATCGCGAATAAAAATATTAATGGCGTAATGTACTTTAGGTGCTGTATGAGTCGTTGACTACACAAATCGATTAACTCCTGCTTTTTAAAAATCTTAAATTCAAGTGTCAAAACACTTGTCGACTTGTATAGTCGTAACTTTTTATATTTAAGATTTTTCAAAAAGTAGAATTAATCGATTTGTGCAGTGAACGGCTCACATATCTCTAACTCATTTTGTAACAGATCAGACAGGTCTTCAACGATATCCATATCTACAGCAGCACATTAGACAACGACGAAGAGCAGAAGATATTGAAACACTGTTTCGATAATGAAAAATATTTGTTTAATGTTCTCATTTGTAAGGATACATCAGAGATTTTATACGAATTACGTCCATTTATTCGTATGAAATCTTTAATATGATATGGTATGATATCCTTGAAATATATAATTGGATTAAATAGATCTTTCCCATTTATAGTATGCCTATTTCCGGCATATGTTGTCTTCTTTCTAACGGCATTATTTTCTGGAATTTGGAACATCGTGTCACCATTAAATCAATCTTGTGCAATTCAACTTCCTTATGACTACAACTGCTTTTTGAACCAAAAAGTGTACTTTCTTTTCTTCATAGTACAGTCATATAGCTACGCATTTTCTTCGTTCATCATTTTAATTAGCACTGAAGCTACGCTTATAATATTCTGCCAACGTTGTTGTGGTTTCTTTAAAATTGCCAGGTTAGGAGAAATTGAAATTATTTTTCACATCTTAAGAACTTTTCCATATTTCTTATATGTTTTATATAAGATTATAATAATTCAATAATTATATATTTCATATATACATAATACATACGATGTACGTATATATTATAATGTAAAGGTATAATAATTGTTTAATAGTACTTGCATCTTATAGCTATCACCTTGAACATGCAATGGACTTATGCGAAGCACAGAACGCAGCTGAGAGATATTCCATTATTTTTGCAAAATTACTCAGAGCAATAAAACTGCAAAAGCAATCCATCAAGTTTGTATTTGCCCTATGCCATAACTTTTCGGCAAGAATTTCTCAGTTTCCTTAGCTCCATCTGAAACAATTTATTCAAACTTCTGTATCTGTTATTCTTGAAGGTTGTTGAGGACCGTAAACGAAATCTTTGGAACTTGTTATGCAATTTTGTTGCTTTTATACGTGATTGATGTCACTCTTCAGTCATACTATGTAAGTAGATATTTTTTCGAAATGTAGTATCGTAATATCATCCATAGTCATCGATATCAGCAAGTCTCATTTGCCTCTATTATCTATCATGCGTGTTATTGCGCGAAGAAACTCACTTTCCCAAAAATGGGGATTTTAATTATTAGAACAAGACTTATCGTATACATTATAGGCAGTCCAAACATTGAAACTACTGAAGAATGATATATATGGAGTTATAATGATGCTAATCGGTGAATTTGGTTATATGTACATGATTTCCTCCATAGGGCAAGATATAGTCGATAATGCTGGCGAAGTTCTCCAAAAAGCGTATGTTATTGCTATAATAAAATATGCACACCATCTAACTCTTTCAACCCTAAATTATTTTGTGTCTTAACCCTTTGCACTTCAGAGGCGACTCTCAGTCACCATTCAATCATATTCTAAAGATCGTTATTAATTAATATCTCGAATTTAAAATTGTCCAACGACACGTGGAATATCGAGATAAAATAATTCTACATCTTATTGTTGATTTGCACTTATTATTTACCGTTTTGAAAATATCATCGACTTCATGGCAAAAAGTTTTCGAATTACTATGTTTCTGTAACGAAAAGATCGCCGAGTGCAAAGGGTTAAATATACTACGGTAAAATTATAATACTTTAATATTTTAATTCCAAAATGCAAAGTATCGAATAAATCGATCATTCGAAACTCGTATGTCACTTGGTAACGTTGAAAGGGTTAATCATGCTGTAATAATATTTCAATAATTTTACAAGACGAATATAATTCGCACGATAGTTACGATAGTCTATGGTACTTTGCACCAGTGCGTGCAAGAAAATTACTATTGGTTACAATGATAAACAGCACGAAACCGATGGGGTTCACGATGTTCGGAGGATTATACAAATCCGGCTTCGAATCATTCTCGATGGTAACTGGTTCAAGTATTACCTTAACACGTTGAATGCCATGCCAGTTTTACAGGGATTGCCCTGGCACCACGATGAATTCTCTATTATGCGACACATATAACGTTGAAATATGATCTGCAATAGATAAGTTACAACGTATAACCACGTTTGACGTGTTAACGTGCTAACGTCACGTCAAACGTGTTTGACGGTTCAGACTGTCGCACGGGAGTATCTGTGCGTTTCGTATGCTCAGATAAATTTGTAAACAAACAGACACTAAGGACATAAAACAGTCCTCGACTTCACCTGGGACATTGCGGTCCTAGAGCCGCAACAATGTGGGAGCTTACAAAGCAACGCAACTAACGCAACTGAGCAACATACCCCAAAGCCCAAATCGGTAAGCATCGGCGACCAAAAGCCGATTAATAGGCTTCCGGTCGGTACAGTGTTAATTGCGACGAGGGTCACCATTGAATTAACGATGGTAATAATAAAAATTTCTAAATATTTACATTTGTTTAACACATTGAGTGCGGCGCCGATTTTGCTATACTTTCCCTTCAGGCGGCAGCGAGTGAACACTTGTTGCCGAGCGCTCAAGTATACTGAAAAGTATGAGCAGAAGATTACTTTGTTTCACTTTGTCGTTTGGACTGCGAGAATGGTACAGCCAATGCACAAATATATAAATTATAAGCAGAAGATAATGAGGCGAGGAATGCCAGAGAGGCAAAAAGGCGATCACGAAGAAACGATCAGTCAGGAAAAGCCACGGAAGTGTAAAGATTTACTTTAGCAGAGGGAATTAAATTTTTACAATATATTAATTGTCGTTGATAATTTAACCCTTGACAATGCCAGTCTTACGCACCGATGTTGATCAAACGAAAAGTTCGCTGTCAGTCCCTAGAATCCACACCGTCCAAACGAAAAGTCTACTGTCAGTCCCTAGGGACTGACGCCGCCTGAACGGAAAGTTCACTGTCAGTCCCTAGGGACTGACGTAGCACTCGACGTGTTAAAACCGGTGACCCCCATGGTATTCAACGTGTTAATAAAACAACTTCAACGACAAGAAAGTCCTGAACCGCAGTTATCTCTTTCAGGTGGTTCGCTTATGCTTCTCCTACTTCATGTTCTTATACTCAACGCAACACTGAACACGCTAAATGCAATCTTATAACCAGCTGGTCACGTTATCCAGCTCAGAGTATCTAGTAGAACCTATCGAATCGCACAATTCATTTGAACTGTGAAATAAACAGCTTACCCCTGAATTTTCATCTATTCTGAATTATCAACTCATCCATACTTGATACACCTGCGTGTAGTTGGTTCGATGTATCCAGCTCCTAAGCTAGGGAGTTGCGAGTGACACTATTGATGTCATTAATATTGACAGTTCATGACGATTTGCACAATTCTTGGCACCAACCTGCACAAAAGAAAATATTTGTTAATTAATTTCGAATTTTAACATAATTCGTTATTTAACCACTTGCGATGGCAAGGAATTCACAGACTCATGTGCCACAATGGTCCAGTGTTTCTGTAACAATTACCTAACGACGTGTATACCACGTCGTTGGCAATTCTGTGACAAAGGCATTACGACGTGCGTGACACGTCTTTCCAGCGCAAGTGGTTAAATCTAATTTTCTTGTAATAATTATCTCACGGCACTGATCGGCGTTCGAGCACCTTTTCCCCTAGATATCTTATATCACGCTTTCAGAAATTAAAGCACTCGAACTTTCGAACTCGACTGAGTTTACAAACGTTGTGTATCATACCTCCGGCGAAGAAGTTAGCACACATAATCGACGAGCACGAGCACGGACTCGTAATGGATCCTTCAGGAGTGGCCAAAAAATGGAGGCTGAGTGAATAATCCGTTCAATCTTCGAGGCGGTCATTAATCTTTCACTGATCTTCGTTTGCACGTCGTTTGCACGGAACTCTACGCACCGGTCGCTAGAATAGGGAGCAACTTGTTGCACGTTGAAACGAGGATGAACAAATAAAGTACCTCGGTGGGGATCACGCGTAAAACAGGGGGACACGGGTAGGAAATTGACGGCATTAAATTTCCATAACACTGGGAAGGTGCACATCGGTGTTTTCCCGTCTTGAGCGCGTCCAAGCGTGGAAACACGATTGCTTTCTAGAAACGAACAGGGGGTGCGTTCTCACGAGCGACTTGACCAGCTACTACCCCTCTGCTCTTAGGCTGAAACATTGTAGAAGTCACGGACCGATCGATTAATACACGGTTGCAATTACCGCGGCTAAAAGCTAGCAATTTATGCTTTCCCTCGAGTTTCGTTTCCCTGTTGCATCGGGTTTCATTAATGTTCATTAATCTTTCAAACGACTCGCGCAAGGAAAGTAAACGGAATTAATACGCGGGGATGATACCCCTCGGAGAGGGTTGCTTTCTTTGGCTGTCTATCCAACGCAGTCGAGTTCTAGCTTCCGTGGGACCATGGATGATCTGGAACATCCTCGCTATAGGCTGAGTAAAATTTTCTTGTGGCCGATCGGACTGTAGCCATACGATGATACGTGGTTAAGATACTTGAAGAGACTGATCTGTATGGCGATCATGGTCCTGTTTATGGTGTTGCTTGTACGGTATTTTTATTTTATCAATAGTGACACCTTCTCGAGAATTGTCAGTGACGCGATGCAGTATTACGTTTTTTCGCGAATTGTAAATGAACAATGGCGTCGCATGGCGTTGCCTTTTATTTTACGCGAACGAAATAAATGTCACATATGTAGCGTTAATATGAAGCGTGGAGTGATGAAAGTTACTTCGGATATTTTTGGAACTCGGAACTTTTATTCGATATATTTTTTATTTCAACGTATCGATAATAAATCCTTCGCACCGAATAGCTTAGAGTCGCAAAGATAGTCTCTCATAGTTCCGCAAATATTCGAGATGTTATTTATTTTCATCTGTCCCATGCAATTTGAATACGAAAGCAATTATCTAGTCGAAATTTGAAATCGATCGAATCAGTCGTGAAAAGGTTTTTAAGAGCCAACAAATATTTTATTACACAATTCCAAGTGGAGATTTTAGTTATCGATTATTATAGCTGGCAGCATGTTTTCTGCGTTCTACGGAATGCTACCGGATTATTCTCACAAACGCTATATCATACTTTATAGTAATATCGATCTTTTTACTGAAATACATCGGGTTTTGGTGCAATATTAATAACGTAAGTCGAGCAGAATAAACGCTTGAACTGTGAGGTAAGATTTACTTTATCTTCGATGTTCTCGAATTTGCAGACAAAAATAGTGATAAAAAGTATGCGACATAACTGTCGAGCTTTGAATAACGAAGACGAGCAGCAGATAATTTTAAAATACGCCGACAAAGGAAAATTCTTGGCTATAAGTTTCGCGTGTAAGAGTCTGCATTCCGTGCTATTGCGCCAAGTATTTCTTTCAATTTATTTCTTTCGCGTTATTTCGCAACCATTCATATCGAAGGCAATTTATTTTGCTCAACTGTACCCTTCATATCGTTGCAGCATTCGTTCATCTAGCGTCACTCTCTTATATATACCTGGCAATGACAAGGTCCTCGAACATGAATATTTGCGAATTGTCTGCAAATTATTACCTAACCTTGGAATATATCACTTTTAACAGCGGAAACTCTTACTTTTTCTTATTACTGCAGGGTTTATTTTTTCTTTTGGCATCAATGTGCCTTTCAGGAACTGCAACATTAACAATCATATACTTTTTCCACGTAGTCGGATTGTTTGAGGTGATTTGGTAAGAAATAATATTACTGATAATTATTTATTATCTTCACGAGTACGAATTTTATTTAATTTGTAATTAATCTTTGTCTATAATTAAAAACAATTCTACCAGATTTTTTAATTATTTTATCAAAAATACGACGATAATTTATCCTCGATGATAACCTCGGAAATAAATTAAGATAATCTCCATTGACTATAATTCTATTGCAGTCTACCTATTATACTACCTTTTTTCACAGTTATCGCTTACGAAATAGCTTTCGCGACAAAGGTCTGAACGTTTCGAACCAGGCAAAAGGCAAAGCAGTGCACGAAAAATTGGTCCAAGCTGCGAAAATGCACATACGAACGTTACAGTCGGTACGATCTTTCTGTTCTCCTTAAATTTATCGCATGCATTTTGCAGAATTTTCGCTTCCTACATTTCACTCGTACTTCCTTTTCAAGCGTTTGCAAAAGTGTGGCAAACAACCTTGCATTTACGTACTTCCTTCTGGTGACACTGGGGGTCGCTGCTTTGAGCATAAACATTTATCGCGTAAGTATAATCTTGATCGAGAATCTTCTCGAAACGATAAGCTCGCTGATCGATTGATCGATACGTGGTATCCGATTATACGTGCAGCTGTCTGAAATGATGGGAGGAATCGAAGAGACTAACGCTACTTGTACCTATGACGCTAACAACATTCTTTTATTTGTTTCTACATAATCACACAGTGCAAGCTATCACGAACAGCAGTGCGAAACTTCTGACGGAAGCGTAAGTGATAATCATAGAGTACGAAATAATAATCGAATAATAAGAATGAAGGTAGAGGACGAGAGGTTTTTAGTGCACAGAGCACTACGTTTCCTGAGTAAGACTTTATTAACACGTTGACTGCCACACGCATTTTACGTGGTTTGCCCATGACGCCAACATGAATATTTTATTATGCGATGCATTTATGTTGAAATATTATTTACAACAGATAAGGTGAGTTGTATAATCGCGTTTAATGTATTTTTCGTGTCTCTTAAAGACATAAACCAGGCCTCCATTGACCCGGAATCCTCGCTGTCGCGCCGGAGTCGAAAATATATACGAGGAACCTTCGCTTTCCGCATCTGATGTTACGCGAAAAAAGTTGATAAAGGAATTTCTTTTTTTTTTTTTTTAATAATAAAACAGGTTTATTAACACGTTCCCTGCCGCGTGGGGCGCATATGCCCCACGCCGAACTTTCCGTTCAAGCCATTTGGTATTATCATTGTAAAATGAAGAATTTTTTAAAAATTCATTATGCAGTCAATTATGGGTATCTTAATACTATTGCTAATGCGTTTATTTGATCGTGGGGCGTATACGTGATGATCAATTTCTTTAACGCAACTTGTTTAACTGCAAAATTTGTTACGAAAAAAATGTTAAGAATTTAGGTTCCCAATCGCCAAAAAACTGTACTGTAAAAGTTGCAACATTCTGCGATAGTTGTGTGGATAAAGCACACTTATGTTTGCCATGTTTTAACAAAGTTAAACCGTCACATCCCTTTGTAATTGTATACAAACTTGATTTCAATTAAAATGTTTTATTTTAAACTAATATAGGCATGATACAAAAATTATATGTGAGGATGCAACTTGCTTGGTAATGTTCAGCCAAGTATTTGTTAAACTAATTCCTAGAAAAATAAATTTATTGGTTTATTGTGTTATGCATTTTAAACTATACACCTTTTCCTTGATAATTACGATTTTTGCACTATTTTAATCATTGTAATGTGAAATAATGCAAATTTCCTGAACGGAGTCTTTAAAAAACGGTCTGGCAGGGAACGTGTTAACATATTGCACTAGATTCTTCTCAATTCTCTATTCTCGACTACATACCATCTATGTGCCTCGCGCCCTTGCATCCCTATTTAAAGCCAGATCTATCTCATTCCACACACATGCTTTCTGTCTCAATCATTCTACAGACATTCCCACAAAAGGACCCGCCGCCATCAATTGTCTTTTCCGCGCCAAACATTCGAGTCGAACCCGATCTTAAATACACCATTGTCATCAGCCGACGTTAAGATGGGGCAATCCTTATCTACTCATTACATCTGTATATCGTCAATAGGTCGTCCGCAATTGGCGACGGTTAATGACGAATCAAATTTCTTGAGGAACGTTGTGTTTATAGTGGACTGTATTTTATGTAGTAGTTCCGGATAACTCTTCTGAAACCTTCGAATGTTATTTGCTGACTGACTGGTACTGACCTAACTAACTTGTGCGATGCACGATCTTTCGGAGCCCATGGTTTCCAAAGGGAAATCGGTTTTCCCATTGGTGGTTGACAGGACCGAGAGTGGG